CTAAGATATTTAAGCTTAAAGTCAAGAAAACTTTTACTTAGAAAAAATTTGTCCCTTTTCTATTGACTCCCCCCCATCTGTTGAAAATTATTAACTCATGGAGCTAAAGTTCTTGAAATTGGGTTAGCAAATTTTAGTTTTTTTATGTGAGTGATTCGAATGATTTTGATAAATATCCTTTATTTTATAGAACAGGTGGTTGATTTTGGTTAGCAGACATGTCAAAAACATTTCCTATGTCAACATTTTTAGGTATAGATCTCTCTACTACGTTTCATCAGGTAAGAGATCATTCAAAATATGACTATAATACATACTGGAAGAGTTGTGACTAAATAATAACTGATAAAGATTATTTATTGATTTATATTTATTTATTTATTAGGAATGTTTACCAGAAAATTGCACATTTCTTGAATATAATTATTTTGATGAAATTCCATTCCCTGATAATGTAAAAAATATCACAATAAAAAGTGTTTTTTCTTAGTTTTATCAGTTTTGTTAAATAATTTATTTTAAAATTTTATAATTCATTAATTATTAGACATTTGATTACGTTTTCCAACAATCAATTTCTTCTTCAAAGTTCCGTAATAATCAATTTGACACTCATCTGGTATATTACACAGTTAGATTTTTTCTTTGAAAATCTTTATGTTAACAATAAGAATTTATTTCTATTTAAAATTAGAGAGAAATATTTCGAGTAGTCAAGCCTGGGGGCTGGATAGAGGTTAGAATTTTATTTAGTAAAATTTTTTTTTTTTAAAAAAAAAATATACTGTATATTACTGTAATTCCACTAAAAAAAAACTATATTTATTTCTAGATATTCGGAACACCTACCGAAATTATTAACGCCGAACCTACTTCAAAGAAATTTGTTAATTCAAGTAATTAATCTTTACATTTTTATTTTATTTTATTTTATATTATTTTTTACTTAATATATATATGTCAATATTTCACACATGCCGCCTTTAAATAGTGCGTAAATGCTTCCAGTCTAATGGACTCGATCCTAATCTTGTGTATACTTATCCTAACAAGTTAAGATCCTTAAATATTAAAACCATTCAAGTGGTTGAAGTGCAATATTACCTTTCAAATCATAATAAAATTTTGGAGAATCAGGTAATTTTCACAAGTAAATCGAACTTATTAAAATTTAACAGAATAAAACTTAAAACTTTTTTTGAAAAAAAAAAAGGAATCAGGTCTTCTACTTAAAACAGCAGAATCTTTAAGAGTAATGTTAAAGATAGTGGTGGGTTATACAGATGAAGAATATGATGCAATATTAAGAGAGACATGGCAATAGAACTGGAAACTTTGAATATGTCTAAGGACTTTTTGGCGAAAAGAGGCAAACACAGATTATGTTATTTAGTTAATCAGATGATGGGTCATTAAAATGTAGATAATATATACATTATGCAAAAATCAAACGATATGTATGCTAGATATAATAAATTCATTGTTTTTACAAGTGTATCAGTGACTTTATGTCGAGCTTAAAAAAGTATTACATGCATATGATAAGTGTTACAGTATATATATACTGTAACCGTACTGCAGCATTAAAATCGTTAAAATGAACATTCGCACTAAATGATCTATGTTCTTTAATGAGAATATTCTATTTAAGAACTTCCAAAGAAAGAAAACTTAAATTATTATTAACCGTTATTAGAGAATAAATATATCGAGATCAATAAAATGTGCGTGTCGGGTATTTACTTATACGTACGGTGCTTATATGTATGCGTGTTCCATGACATCTTTTTTTTGGTTAAATGAAATTAATGTAAATCGATAAATCGATTTTCATTTGCGAAATGATGTTAAAAAAAAAAAGAAAAAATTTTCTTTTTTCTTTTAAGCTGATTACTAATTATAAATTATAACTTATAAATTCGTGTGATGATAGTTTACTTGGTTTTAGACAATCCAAATACTGTAAAGACACTTCGAATAATTATTACTGATTTATTTGTAACGTTTAGTGGTTTATCAGGTGAATGACGCAATAGATGATAAGTAAATGACAAATTAAGCGAGTCCTTTTCTATGCAACTCATCTTAGTCATCCTCCAATTCTGGTTTATATTAATCTACAATGATAACCGATTTTCAGATAACGAAAGTTCGTTTTATTGGTCATCTATTCTATTAACTCAAGCAGTTATAAAATTTAATATTACTTAAAGAATCACTCAAAAAATTTATAAACATTTTGGGATAAAAATGGGTCAATGGATCAAAACATTCCACAAACTTTTTTGTTAAAAGTTTATGTAAGTAATTAATATACTGTAGTGCGAAGAAATGATGTCAATATCATGAATATTTTTATATAAAAATTTGTAATAACAAATTTGTGAAAAAACTTTAATGTAATTAATGTTATTTGTGTAATTACGTGTACGTAGAGCAGTTAACAAATATGTATTAAAAGAGCCTAATTTGCAATTTAAGTTTAAAATCGATCTACGGATAATAATTATATTATCTTTGATTTAAATATTTTTTACTTATCGTTAATAAATCTTTTTATTGTAATAATTGGTCCTTGTGGCTTACGGCAAATCTTTTTATTGTTCATATAACTATTTAAAGAAAAATAAAAAAAAATACAAGGTGAAACCTGAGTTTTCGGCTGCATAATAACAAAACAACGATAGTTAAACGAGGTTTTCATATTAATTGTGATCTACACACCGGGGTTTACTACTGTATCGTTATAGCTTATAACTCATGTTTCATTCAGTCCAAAAATAGCCTTTTTATATAATCTTTAAATATAAAATTTATTTTAAGTTGCAATAAATGCTGTTGTAATTACACGAGAAAAATACACATGCTTTTTTCGGGAACAAATCTAGGAACATACATTACATAAATACATACTTCTGTACTTGGGAGATTTAGTTGAACGCATGAATTTACAATACGTGCGTACAGTACGTAGTGAAAATCCATCAACATTATATGCATACTGTACGTTGTTTCATAACCCATAAAAGTTAAGCATAAAGTAGAGATCTGAATTACCAAACTTTTTCTATTGAATCATGTGATATTTATTCTGATCATTTACAGCCGTTTTCAACATCCGATTAGAGCGAAAACTCCGGAAATCTACAACCGTTCACACCTTTTTGAAAACAGCTGTAAACTTCCCGATTAGAGTGGATCTTGAAAACTCCGAAAATCCGGGAATTTCCCATGATATGGTGATATGGTGATCTGCGGCCGTTCACATCTTATGAGAACGGCTGTAAATGAATCATTAAATTTATCATAATAATATTTATCATAATATTTATCATCCCAGAAATACAGTATTCATGTACAGTACAGCAGTAAATACATTTATATTTTTATGACACATATTATGCGCGATAACTGATATACCAAAGTTTAAGTTAATCATAGCTGATAGAACGATCACAAAATTTTTAGATTAAATTACGATAAGTAGTTTTCTTTCAACCATACAAATATTCATTTTTTCCGAACATGAAATTCAGAAATTAGAAATGTTAATCGAACCGGTCCAGATCCAGTCTATTTCTAGCCTATTATAGTGAGTAACTTTCTATATACTGTAAGTGAAATTAAACTCTATATCGATATTCCCTATATAGTTAATTTACTAGCGCTAGTAAAGTACATACGTAAATAGTGAATTTTAAACAGATCAATTCACCTATCTCTATAAAAAGAGTTAGTTACCTATATTAGTCAAATCTAGACCGGTTTCAAACCAGACTAAAATAATACTAACCTTACTTTAACAAGGACTATAACAAAGAGGGACAGCATATTCCTTAAAAAAATCGTGTAATGTTGTTGGAATGTATAGATTATGTTGTCTCTCAAGGCTATTACTTTCTGTGATAATATATCAATTAGTTAATTTGTTAATGGCTATAATTGCTAACAGGTTGATCTTATAGACCAATTAAATGCTACTGTATATCACAAGCTCTTTTTCTTTTTTTTTTAAAACCCGGATCTGATGCATTTAGGGTGAGTATGTATTTCATTTCAATAGTTTTAAAATATTGTAAACTTTATTAAATGATATATTTATTTTATATTTACATTTTATTTATTAGAGGTCATATATTCACAGCATCACTCCATACCAACGTTTTTTTACTTAAAATGTCTGACATATTAGCTTGCTGTGGTTAGTAGTATTCTTTGGCCCTGATTATTTAATCAATGTCAGTGATTGGACTAACTAACTTTGTTCTGCTGGACCATTTGATTTATAAATTATAATTGGAACTTAAAAGTTTAATTTCAATTCAAATTACTGGGTTTAACGCATTTTTAATTATACTCTTTTAGATACGTATTGTAATAAAGCGGCTTAGACGAACATTTAAGTTTAATTTTGTGAATCATCTATGACGAATTATACTCTTATGACCTTCATGATTAGATTATCTTTATTAATATTTCGGGCTCCGCAGTTTATTTCTAAGCGTTGTTGGACATATGGGCTAGGTGCTGCAAAAAGGGACCAAATTGACAATTTTTTCGAAAGATATTTTTTTACATAAATCAATTTAGAATAAGATTGGGGCCATTTTTTAGCTAAAACACAAAGTAGTTGTATCAATAAAATTTTGCTATATTGCTCTTTAAGGTTTGCATTTTCTTATGATTTATTATGAGATTTATAACATAAAAATTGATTTTCCGAAGATCTTTTGTTTTGTCAATTTGGTCCCTTTTTGCAGCACCTAGCCCATATGATCATCGTATCTCTCTCACTCCTATATAATTATGGTTTTATTAAATTAATCTTTTTTGCTGGTTGGACAAGGATATATATTAGATGCAAAAATTAAATTTAAATATATTGATAAATTTTATAAAATTAAGAATTGAAAGTAATTTTTAATTAATACTTTAATTATAGTATATACGTACTGTACGTACGTATGTACGTATCAGGTATGTACATATGTATATACATACATACATACATACATACATACGTACGTACGTACGTACATGGGTTACTAGAAAAAATATATATTACCTGATAAGTAGCACACTCCTTATCGTTATATATTCCTTATACGACCTGATGCATAGTATGATTATGTAATTTCCCGTGAAGGTACAAAATTTATTTAATAGGTAAGCCTACCGCTAATTAATCGTAATAAAATTTATTTGATGTACCTTAATTGTTTGTGTGTACGTATGTAGATTAGTTATAATTTTTGAAACATCAAATAAGAAACTTCTAAAACATAGATTAATAATATAAGAAACTAAAAATGATAAAGCTTCGGAATGGTAAATGATAAAATGTTACGTAGTAACAATAAAAAAGCTTTATTGAAACCCAATCCTACTTTATAAAAAAATTTTTTTTTATTTTCAGATATTATTATTTTTAAAAAAATTTCCTTTTAAACAAAAATGATTGTTCACTGCTGTACTGATCTAAAAAAATTAAATTTCGATATATATACATGTTAATATACATACTATAAGTGGTCACATGCTATAACCATATATACTATAGATACGTATAGATATGCGAACAAATAAAACTTGCATTATCAAAATATATAACCTTCAGACTACCTATAAAAATTGAAAGTTGTAGGAAAAAAAAAACAAAAAATAAAAATAAATCTTTAAAAAAGTAAAATGGGTCAATCACCATCAAAATTCTTTGGTAAAAAAAATGATAGAAATGTTGCTGTTAAAGGAAATACGAAATCTGATTTTAAAGATGATAGAAAAAATGAACAAATAGAATTTGATAAAGAACCACCAGCTTTAACGTCCTCGGTAATTGATGAGCATAGGTTTATTGAAGGTCGAAGATTTCGTATTGCCACAAATGCCACTTACATATTTCCAAGTGACTGTAAAGAAGCTACACGATTTAATGAAACTATGAAACTTATGAAACGATTATTTGACTCTAGTTATTCGGCTCCTGTTGAAAAATTATTAATAAACGGTGCAAAAGTACTTGAAATAGGGTTAGTAAATTTATTATTCGATTTTATTACTTGGATTTTTTTTTTTTTAAAAAAAAAAAATTATTTATTTGATTTAATTTTACCTTAATAAATATTCTTAATAAATATTCTTGATGTTATAGAACTAGTGGCGGATTTTGGTTAACAGATATGTCAAAACAATACTCGATGTCAACATTTTTGGGTTTGGATACGTCGACCATTTTTAATCCCGTAAGAATTTATTTATTAATAAACAAAAAAGATCATTATTTTCAATACATTTAACAAAAAAGATCTTATTTTTTATTTTTTTTAATATATAGGAGTGTTTACCAGAAAACTGTGCATTTCTTGAATATAATTATTTTAATGAAATACCATTTCCTGAAAATGTAAAATCTTTATAAAAAAATATACTTATGGGGTTTTTTTTCCTTAAATTACAGTATTTTAAATTTCATATTTTCTATCGTTATTAATACTATTACTATATTGATATTAGATATTTGATTTTGTTTGTCAACAATCAATATCTTCTTCAAAATTCCGTGGAAATCTATTTGATTTACATCTGGTATTTATAGTCTTGTATTAAAAAAAAATCGTGCTCTTTATATTGGTAGGTAGTAATAATTTATTATTTATTTATTTCTTATTTGAAAATTAGAATGAAATATATCGAGTAGTCAAGCCCGGAGGCTGGATAGAGGTTAGAATTCGATTCAAATATTCAAATTAATCAATTATGTATTATGTATTATATGTTATACGTATGTTAGGTCAAACAAAAAAAACACAAATTCTCATTTAGATATTCGGAATTATTTCTGAAATTGTTAACGCCGGGCCTGCAACTAAAACATTTGTTGAATCAAGTAATTTTACAATATTTTATATTATTATTATTATTATTATTATTATTATTATAGACTTTAATTTACTTATATCACTTTTGTTTTTTAAATAGTGCTCAAATGTTTCCATTTTAATGGGCTCGATCCTAATATTGTGCGTACTTTTCCTAGAAAGCTAAAATCCTTAAATATTAGAAATATTCAAGTAGTTGAAATACCATTTTACTTTTCACCAAATCATCCCATCTCAAAAAATAAGGTAATTTGTGTGTGCGTTTAAGTCTTTCCTTTTACGATATAAATCTATAATTTTTATTTTATTTATTTTATTTTATTTTATTTTTTTGAAAAGGGGCAAGAATTACTACTTGCAACCGCAGAATCTTTAAGAGTAATGATTAAACTAACGGTGGGATATACTGATGAAGAGTATGATGTATTAGTAAAAAATATCATCGCAGAAACAGAAATTTTTAATATGTACACAGTTTGTGTAAGAACTTTTGGACAAAAGAGTTTAGACATTACATGATATGAATTACGGATTTAATCTAACAAACAAACAACAATATCACGAAAAACAATCGTTTGTTATACGGAATATATGTAATATAAATCATATGAAAATAGTTTATTCATATTTTTAAGATTTATTTTATGAGAAAAAATCTTTATTTATGTACAGTTTTTTATATATATGTATTATACGATAGTGTTTTATTTTTTAAAAAAAAATTACACCAAAATTGAAAATATTAAAAAATTAATATTGGAGTTTAGAACCAACATTATTTTTCACAGCATCAGGCAAGTTTGGTTTAGTGCGCAGTACTGGAAAGCTATGTAGAAAATTTTAATATGTTCAATTTTGTCCAATCATGTAACTTAATCCGGCCAAATGATCGGTAAAATTGACCCGAATTACGTACGTACGTACGTATGAGATTATGGATAGAATTATGGATGATCGCCAAAGTCATCAGTTTAAGAAACTGTGCCTACTGTACAAGCATAGTGCAGGTGATATAGTGATAATCATTACGTAGTCAAATTTTTTTTATTAGTGATAGTGTAAATAATAAAAACATAAAATTCAAATTGTACCGTAATAACTCTTGAACTAGCAGATCCATAATTATATTTGTTGGGTTCGTTTTAACGTGCTCTTTAAAATAATAATTTTTTCTTTATAAGATTCTGGTGATAACAAAATTCTTGTTTTTGATGCATTATTAATAAAATATCAAAAAACGTATCCAGATAAATGTTAACTGGATTGGAACTCTATCAAAAACGAAATTTTGGTATCGCTTTGAGTCCTTCGCTATTCTTCAAACAATTAAAAAAAAAAAACGAACGTTGTTACTTTAAAGAACACGTTTAAACGAACCTAACAAATATAAATTTATTTTATGAATCTGCTGGTTCATACTTTATATGTTTTTATTATTTACGTTAACAGCGCTTGTAAAAAAAATGTTCCCTCCCGTGATTTTTAACCAATCAAATTTCAAGATCAGATGTAACGTAAACCTAATTAAAAGCTCTCCTGTGAAATTTACTAAATTCTATCCTAACCCTAACCCAAACTACAACGTATTATTCTCAGTAAAAATTACAGGGGGGGCAATTTTTGTGGGTACGCTACCTAAGTAATGCAAGTAATTAGACTTGTATTTTAACACCCAGCGCTAGTAAACATATATGGTGACCCCCACAGCAAAAGGGTGCATTGGGACAAAAATTCTAATTTGTAATTTTATAAAAATTGTAATCCTATTAGTCTAATTCTTCAAGAAATCAATTAAAATAAAAAAAAATTTTTTTGGCCCAACCCATATATACAGTACGTAGAATCTTATTACTCACGTGCCTAAAAGACAATAATCGATACGTACGTATGTTTGATACTTTATATGAGTGTCGCTAAAAGAAAACCCGAAAATTTAAATATAACTTATATTTAAATTTTCGGGGATTCTTTTAGCGACATTCATATGTAGATATCAGATATCAGATAGCTAATATGTATATGTTGATATCAGATATATGATATGTATGTATGCATACATTCTAACTTTGGGAATTGTAAAAATTTTACTGTGTTCCAAAATTGGGTTAGTTTACTGTATTAACGTTCCAATAAGATATTGATTACCTGAATGAATTCTAAAATGGAGTTTTCGTTCTATAGTATTTATCTCGAATTTCGTTGTTGTAATATGTGTGAACAAATAATTAAAAGTGTAATTATATCATTAACAGTGTGTAGTGAGCACTTGATTCGTATCAATATTTAGTGTTAAGGATAAAGAAAAAAAAATAGATTCCTATTGATACGTATTTTTGAGAACAGATTTGATGTCGTGAATTAACACACAAACATAAACAGTATGTTGAACTAACTTAAATAGGAAAGACTAAGCCAGGATTCAAATTTTGCGTATAAATATTTATTTGCTTATGTTTTACAGTTAATAAATGAAAAAAAATTTTTTCCTAATAAAATTACGCAATAATACAAATCAAAATTTGTGTAATAAAAAAAAACTTTTTTTTTTTCTTGGCACTTAACGTAATAAGCAATTAGTTATTTGCAATATAGATATCTCCTGAATAGGGGCTTGCATGAACCTAAAAAGACTTTTTTGCCAGTACATCCGGCCGAAACATATTAATGTGCAGGAGCATACTGACGATCAGCTGCTAATCATATACTTATCAGTTATGATTTCTACGTAGGTATATATACGTACGTGTATTAACGTCCGGAGGATAAAGTTATGCAGTACAACGACAATGCATTCTGTGAATTATACGTAACAACTGTGATAAGCTTGAAAGAACCTATTTTAAGTATCTCTGTTCAAATATTTATTCAAGCATGTATATATATTGTAATTATGTATATCATTTCAAAGATTAACAAAAAATTTATCTGAATATTTATTGAATGTTTGTATGACGATAACAATGTTTTAAAAAAAAAATCTTTAGCAAGTCAGACGTACAACAGGAGTGCAGAGCGCATAATCTTTGTTCCAGCGTCATTAATTTTAAACTGACAATATTATTAGAAAATCATGTGACTTGCGACACCATTTTGTATATTACGAAAATAAAGTAAAAATTATGATTGAGTGATTATTGCTAAACAGTAATATTAATAACGCAACCCTTCGATGTACCTTAACGCATCGAATTATGAAAGACAGTTATTTAAAATCGAAAGAACTTTTAAGATTCGATTTATCGATTTCAGAATAATTTTTTATGATGCAGGATTGCGAACTTAATAAGTTTAGGTTTGTGTGAGTATCACATGAGGCACTTGATTCCTGTGTAAGTAAATGTTGTGTTAATAAAAAGAATTGGATAAAGATGAACAGATAGCATACATAGAGAAACAAAGGTGAACCAATTAAGAATGACAATAAAAAAGAAAGCATTAGTTAGAAGTTCCGGATTTTGTCGTGTAAATTCCAAAAAAAGGTTAAGCGTATTTTTTGTTTTTGCGTTATCTGCTAGTTTAAACCCGGTTTTCTCATGATCGTCATAGGCATACACATGATATATATGTATGCTTAAACGGTTAACGGTTAAACATAAATGCATTTAATACGTATACGTACCAGTACTGGTGATATATTAGATATATATCTGATATAGATACTATATAGACGTATATTTATAGATGCAGATGATTTTAATAATAAGTATAGACCTGTTTAAACAAAGACAGGATGTATTTTTTAATGGGTTGGATTTAGGCTTTTGTATTAAATTTATTTTTAAAGACTTAAAAAATATAATAAATATTTGAAAATTATTATTAATTATATTAAAAAAAAAATTATTTAATAAGGCCATACAAATTTAATTACTTGATTTTCATAACATCAAATTTAAAAATAGACCCGGCCGGCCGGCTTTTTTTTCTTAAATTTCATATATAAAATTTTATAAAATTTTATAAAATTTATATAAAAAAATTTTTTAATGCCCACCTGATTATTAAAACATATAAAAATTTTTTTTAAAAGTTTTCAAATTTTGATCTAGCCAGATTATAAAAACTAATTATTTAATTTTGTATAGCTTTAAAAAAGATAATTTCTTTTTAATTAAATATATAGTAATTTTTTTTTTTTTTTTTTAGCAATCATATTATATTTTATTTAGAAACAAAGTAGTTATATTATCAAATTCTATTATTATCTCTAGTATTAAATACTTTACAACTAAAATACAACACATTCAGTTACTATCATAGATATTTATATGTAATCTGCCAAAGCAAAAGTTTGTCTTCCTTCTATATTAGAGTTAACTACTATAGAGGTTTACTAACTTGACCTTGTAGCCAATTATAATTATATTCTTTTTCTTTCACAATTTTTTTTACCTAGACCTGGGCAGAAAAGTTAAACTTTTACTTTTATCTAAGAAGAAAATCTACTAGCTACAATTATAAAAAAAATTTAAAAAAGTATGAAGCTAGTTTAGAAAAAGAAAAAGAAAAGAAAAGAAAAACAAAAAAAAGAAAAGAAAAAAAAAAACAAAGGATAAAAAAAAAGTAGAACTTAAACTCTATTCTATTATAACTAGAAAAAAATAAAAAAAACATAAAAGAAAAAAGAAATAAATACAATCTAAGTAGCACTATTATAATCTGTGCCAAGGCTAAAAAAAAAATTATATACTACTTTATAAAGCAACATTTGTATATCTTTATTGTAAAGTTTTGCTTTACTACTAAAATCTTTTTTATCTTAACAAACCAAGTTTAGAAGTTTTTAGCCAGTCTACTTCTAGTTCGTATCTCAAGCCAGGTGCTGCTACTATTCAAAAACCCATATCTCAAGCCACTTGCTACTGTTTTTAAAAGTTCTTTGATTTGGAGTTAATCTCTCTATGCTTATTTAGACCAAATATGTGGTTGCTATCTACTGCATTATTCAAATTTAAAAACTATAAACAATAACAAGCCTTTGTTAGGGATAAGCTATTTTGCCTACTTTTTTTAAAAATTTTTTTGTTGTCAAGATAGATGAGTAATAGAAGCCAAAAAAGAAAAAAAAAGTATATTAAAGAAATAAGTATAAGAGTTATACCATATAAAGTCTTATATTTTAACAAACAACTACTTTTATTTTCATATCTATAGTGCTTGACAAAGCTCCAGAGTTGCTCTATTACTTCTTTGTTTAATAATATTATAGCCTACCAAGATGCCTTACTTAACCATCTGCTATTAATCTTTTTTAACTTTATTTCAGTAAACAGAATACTCAGTAAATAAACTTTGTATTCAATAGCAGCTAGG